ATCCGCCAGCGCTGACTGGCGGAACGGACGGGGGGGGGTGGGGGGTACAGCTGGCTCTGCCTCTAGATAGGCAGAGCCAGCTGTCAGTCACACAGCTGGGCGGATCTCGGCACAATTGTCGGGATCCGCTTCAGCTGCGGCGTCTCAGTATACCGCGAGCTGTAGCTCCCTATATACTGAGCTTAGGGTGACGGGAGGACGCTAGTTTGTGTCCTCCCGTTACCCTAAGGAGAACTATGGGGAAAAGCCCTGACCCCATAGTTCTCCTTTAAGTACTACTGATACCAGGTAAAAAGTCAGGACATTACACTAGTTTCATTCCATTAAAATAAATAATTGAATGAAGTATGAATGCAGAGCGGCGTCATTTGTGTCTTTTGTATCTTCCTGAGGTTTAGCTCTAATTGGATATACGTTGTTGCCGGCCTTGTTCTTCTATCCTATTGGATTGGTTTCTTTTTTCTTCACCTTATCTCATCCCCTTTGTGGTCTGCGGCTACACGTCGGCTAAAACCTCAAACCTCTGGTGACCTCAGCTGTTCCAGGATTACATGTTATGAAGTACGAGGAGAGGATTGTCCCTATTTCAGATTATTCTGTTTGATTTGTAATATTTCCCTTAATCTGCTCTCCAGCCAAATCTTTCCTCTTGAAAGCTGAAGCTTAATCAGTTTATATTTTGCCTTCTCTGGCTCCTCCCCCTCTTCCCTTTTATGAACAGGCAAACGACATTTGTATTCAAAACCTTTCTGTTTTCATGACCGACCTTATTTTTGGACCCGGGGATGTCATGACGGGGTCTGTGTGCTTCTCTATACAGTGCAGGTAGATCATGGCTGGGGGCAGGGCCAGCAGGGGGCTGTACATAGTGTCCTCAAAACATCACAGCACCCCACCTCTGTACTCCTTTCAAGAGCCCTCAGCCCTGATGCAAGCAGTGGGCCGGCTCTTGGGAGGAGTTATGCAAATATCAGAATGTCTGGAGGAGTGGGTGTTCCTAGGCTGCATTTGCATGCAGACCACCCACATGTGATGCTGAGCCTCCATGATAAAAAGAACTGAAACCCAATGGATAAAAGGGGCGGGGCCAGGGGAAGTCCGGCTGCCATGGATCTGGCCACTTGGTATGTCCCTTCAGAGCTGCAGTGACATTAGATGGAACCACTGTGGGGTGACGTGGGTCTACAACACACCGAGTACTGGCTTCCAGATAGAGGGGACAAGAATTTTCCTAGAACCATCTAAAATACGGACAATTCTTTCCTTACATATCAAATCCTAAAATATATATTTTTTCATCCCCATGCCAGTACGTTGGCTGTTCCCCTCCACATCTGAAGCCCCTCCTTCACATTAGGAGCCCCTATTTCACACCAAAGCCCTCCCTTCACATCTGTAGCCCCATCTCCAAATCTGAAGCCCCTCCTTCACATTAGGAGCCCCCATTTCACACCAAAGCCCTCCCTTCACATCTGAAGCCCCTCCTTCACATTAGGAGCCCCCATTTGACTTCGGAGCCCTTGCTTCACATCTGAAGCCCCCATTTGACATTGGAGCCTTCGCTTCACATCTGAAGCCCCTCCTTCACATCTGAGGTCACATCTGAAGCCCCATCTTCACATCTGAAGCCCCTCCTTCACATCTGAGGTCACATCTCCACATTAGGAACCCCCATTTCACATTAGAGGTCCCCCTTTACATCTGAAGCCCCATTTTCATATCAAACCCCCCGGTCCTCACATCCGGAACACCCCTTCACATCGGAGGTCCCCCTTTACATCTGAAGCCCCATCTTCATATAAAAAGCACCCCCCCCCTTCATATCAGAAACACCCCTTCACTTCAGAGGTCCCCCTCCACATCTGAAACCCCATCTTCATATCAAAAGGGGAGGAGGTGGTGTAGGTCTGGACAAGAGAAGACTTCCGACCGAAAACTGGGGGGCGGCCCTTGATGCCATCCGCCCTAGATAGGCGCCATGAGAATGCATAGTGCTGTGCCAGCTTTGACAGCACCCCTGATGAAGCCAGATGGCACCCCTGTTGAGAAATGTTGTTCTAAGGTAACACAATGAAATAATCCTATAAAAACAAAGACAATAACACACCTGCAATCATAGCACTCGCTGCATTCACTACAGCAAGACACCAAATTCTAAACACATGGATCAATAAACAAAAGGAACAATAAAAGATACAAATGGAGTATCAAAAAAAGTATAACAAAGTTTGTTATTGTATCTCGCAGTGTGTAAAACGAACTTGTGGAAACTCTCAGGACTCCCACTGTGTTTATATGGGTAAGATAGACAATGCCGTCAATATAAACACCAAGAGATAGGCATCACCTTCTCAGCAGAATACTAAATCATCAAGGTAGAAATATCCTTAAAATGTCTGATAATAAATGACTGCTCATGCAATTAGCATGTTGTCCAATACTCTGGATCTGGCTTTGCAATTCAGACGAAGCACAATGGGCTGCAAAGTAAAAAGCTCCAAATAGGCTTTACAGATGAACGAAGCCGTCAATTGCAAATGGTAACAATTAATATGCTTGGTGTTGGTGTTTATACCGCTTCTATAAACAATCCTGCCCAGCCGCTGCAGAAAACCTATCCGACCTCAACCTAACCGCTCAACCATGACATTCTCAAACAATTCATCCCCACACAGCTCCCTCCTCATGTATCACTTGTCCCTCCCTCTTAGATGGTAAGCCCTCAGGGGCAGGGCCCTCCTTACCATCGCGTCTTGAATTGTATTGTGATTGTAATGTCTTCCTTATATTGTAAAGCGCTGCGCAAACTGTTGGCGCTATATAAATACTATGTAATAATAATAATCTCTTCGCTCCAGACACCAAGTACAAGTTACAGGGACACACTGTCCTCTACATCCCCATTGAGGCCATGAATGTGGAAGCTGGAGCCGCCATCAAGGACAAAGAGCTGGTGCAGAGGCTGGAGAGTGAGTTCATGTGTGATGTGTAAAGATTCAAAAATGACTTTTAAATTATATTTTCCAGTACATATGTAATATTTCATATTCATATTTTAATTATTATAATATTATAATTTAATTATTATATTATAATAATAATATTTTCTCTTTTTTTTTTGGAGCTTTAGGCTGCTTTTCATGTTTTCCAGGTCCTGTTGGGGAAAAAAAAGGATATTTACAAAGATTATTCATTCATAATTAAATTTACTCGCATCAGGCTCTCCTACCTCTACCCTTCCCCATTGTTCTTCCCCTCTATTGAAGTTTTCAGTCAGACACAGTGAGCCTATAGACAGGCAGCTTACGTTGTGCTGTATCTTTAAATAACCCATGGTGCACTGGAAATCTTTAATCATGGTGTGATTTTTCAGTCATCAGATAGGTCAGTCTCAGTGTGGGCTTAATGGCTTGCACTGGGCTGAGAGTTCTGTTCCGACAGGGAGAGAATACAAGATAAAAACAGCAAAAACAACCATCCCTGAGAGGTAAGGCTGCACTATTACATCAGCTTCAAGTGAAAGTGTGCTTTGCCTATGCAGAGGAAAGCGATTATGGAAGGTGGCAGCTACGTGAATCTGGTGCTTTGCCTTGCATGGATTCAAATTGAGAGTGGTGATTTTAGGTTCTTACAAATGCCCATTCCTGCTTTGGGCCTAATGTAGCACCTTGTGGACCATGCAGAGCAGTGAATGCAAAAGACGTAATATGAAGATTATCTTGCTGCACTCCTTACTGGAACTTTAAACCCGCTATAGCCAGGTGGGTGCTTGAAGTGACCACGGATGGCACCGTGAAAGAACTACAAAGTGAAATAAGAATGTCACCAGCACTCCAAGATAAGTGAAATAAGTCCATTTAAAGACTTTGCATGTCATAAGTGCACTTATGACATGCGAAGTCATTAAATGGACTTATTTCACTTATCTTGGAGTGCTGGTGACATTCTTATTTCACTTTGCAAAAGACGTAAGACCTGGGGCCCCTGCTGATAGATAAGGCTTACGGCATATGTTTATTCTGCTTCCTATTACATCTGCAACCTCCCAAGATTTTGCTCTTGGATCTGGTCCTGATCCGCAGGCCTCCAGCCTTCACCATCTATTCCATCTATGTTCAGCTGTTTCACTTGTAATGGTTGTTTGTTTTCCCTGCAGTTGCTCTTTAATTTGCTTAGTTTCTCCTCTCATAGCTGCCATGGTGCACTGGACCCGCCAGATCAAGGAGGTTCTTAGCGCCCAGGAAGCGGTGGAGATGGGCGAGAGCTCAGGCCCTCTAGAGGAGATTGAATTTTGGAGAGAAAGATGCACCGACCTCTCTGGAATCGGCAAGCAGCTGGATAAGCCCGGAGTCAAACACATCGAGCACATCCTGCAGATGGCAAAGTCATCCTACGTGGGACCTTTCCAGAAGCTGTCCAAGCAGATTCAGGTGAGAAGACGTTGCTGACTCTGGACTAAGATCTGGGGTAACATTCCGTCTTTTGGTCCCCAGGTCTCCTCCCACATTCATTTTTTGAGAGCATTCGTTCCCATGAGCGTCAGTACTTGCAAACATCACACTCTATCATTAGAACATTTACTTTTGCATAACTTATATGTATATATTACAAAGTTTTGGGTACCGTAAGGCCACAAGGCTTTGGAGAATCAGGAAAAGCTCCATCAGGAAGACTTAGGGAATCTTTTATCATGGGGAGATTTCTCAGGTCAGTTTCCATGGGTGCCCAATGGCTTGCACTGGACTGACGGTTCTGTTCTGACAGGGAGAGAATACAAGGGGATTTTCTGGATAAAATACTTCTTTTGGCTCCCTCCAGTGCTGATCACATAGCACGGGGCTAAGGTATTAGATTTTGTGACCTTTGATAAAGGGGAGTATCAGTGTTTTGATTGGTAGAACCTCCCCTTCAGAAGTGGTCATGTGACCATCATTGGAGACACCTTGATTAGCATTTTTCTTGAGGAAAGCTATGTATTCCTTCTTTTATTCTTTAATCACTCAATCCAGCAAGAGTGCTTACACAGCGTTAAAGGAAACCATGACCATGACCGAGCTTTTATTGCAGTCCAAGGTTCTGTCGGGGATATCCCCCTTCACAATGCTGTGATCTGAATAGGAAGTAAGCGTAAAAGCTGACGGTGATTCTAAACTTCCCAACTCCACTAAACAAAAGCTGTCTGTGTCGCTATTGGAGATTACCCCTTACTTCCTCTCTTGGTGACAACATTGTCACTGCCTTAGGAAATTGGGCAAACTTTCCCCAATAGGGCCACAGAGAACAGAAATAAATGACAGAGGTTCTAACCCTTCCTGTCTCTATCCCAAAGGAAAACAAATGATTGGAGGTACACCTTTTAGTTTTCATATCTTTGAAGGCTTATTTACTAATGTTTGCCTACTGAAGTATTGCATTTTGGGTTGGGGTGGGGCTTACCAAAGGTAAGGGGAGCCTAACCTACACTTAGCCAGTAGCTGAGGCTCAATGTGTAGCAAGGGCTTAGGATCCAAGGGGCTTGACCGGTATCAATTTGATGACTAACACAAGTACTTGCAGGAGCCACACTGTTGTTACCTTAGATCTGTTCTAGGTTAGGTCAAGTTCATGTTACCTAGAGCAGGGTTGGGCAAGGTGTAGTTCACGTTAACTGCTGCCTATTGGAGTCCTAAAATTTAAGATGGGGATATGGTTTAGCTAAGGGAAGAGGAGTCTAGCCTACAGCCATTACGCATACTGTTGACAGGGCTACTTGTTTGGTTGCAGGCTGGCTGGCAGGTTGGGGATGGGGAATTTTTGTGTTTTGTAGCCTACAGCCATGGCTTGGGATCCATGGGGGCTTGACCAGGATCAATTTGACGACTAACACAGCTACTTGCAGGTGCCTCGTGTGCCACACTGCTGTTACCTTAGATCAGTGCATTGAAGACAGTCAAGTACACATCCTAGACAGGGAGGAGGACTGGTTTAAAAGAGGTGTGAAAGAGGCCATTTATGTAAAAATGGAGAAGCCAAGCTTGAATAGTTGTTAGCTGAATAGCTGTTTTAACACCTGGTTAATAACACCTCCTAGCTCCAATTATGCAAGTGCAATCATCACATGGTTGTGACTGATTATGTGGATTGAAGCAACATTCACCATATTTATTCCCAGATAATTTTTGGTACAAGTCATTCTGAATTGAGAAAGCTGGTCGGATGACCAGTGAAACATCTTCAAAAAAAATACAGCAAGTCCAGTTGCCTTGACTTATTTTTTACAGATATAGTGTTAGGTCAGGTCAAGTTCATGTTAACTAGAGCAGTGTTAGGCAAAGTGAAGTTCACATTAACTACTGCTTATGGAGTCCGAAAATTTAAGATGGGGATATGGCTTAGCTAAGGGAAGGGGGAGTCTAACCTACACTTAGCCAGTAGTTGAGGTACAATGTACAGCCAGAGTTTGGGATGCAGGGGGGCTTGACCAGGATCAATTTGATGACTAACACAGCTACTTGCAAGTGCCTCACTGTTGTTACCTTAGATCAGTGTTAGGTCAGATCAAGTTCATGTTAAGCTAGAGCAGTGTTGGGCAAGGGGAAGTTCACGTTAACTACTGCCTACTGGAGTCCTAAAATTTAAGATGGGGTACAGCTTAGCTAAGGGAAGGGGAGTCTAACCTACACTTAGCCAGTAGTTAAGGTCCAATGTACAGCCGGGGTTTGGGATCCAGGGGGGCTTGCCCGGGATCAATTTGACGACTAACTTGCAGGCGCCTCACTGCTGTTACCGTAGATCAGGGCTAGGTCAGGTCAAGTTCATATTCAGTTATAATTTTTCCTCTTTGCCTCACTAAATGAGCCCAATGTGTTTTCTCTCCTGTAGGATGGGTCTGTCCAGGCTCAGTCTAACCTCAGCTTTTTATCCATACTGAAAGGGCCATTTGAAGAGCTGATATCCCTAAAGCTCAAAGACATTCCTGACAAATTCCCTCATCTCCTCAACCTCGTCCGTGTCATCTGGGTCAACTCGCCCTACTACAATACCCGGGATCGCCTAACCTCACTATTTCGCAAGGTAAGGAGAAAATCTGATGCACCTTCTTCCACATCAATCCGCGTTTCCATTGTTGTGTATGATCAACCACAACGAGGCTTATGTGAGAGTATAAATATTCAGTCTTTCATTATCATTATGGCGCAGGCTTACTTGTGAAAGATTTATGTTTTCTGCCTTATTTAGCTTTATTTACTCCATCTGAGGATAACTCTAGGCTCTCTCTGCCTCACTTTATGTTGATAACACATGCCGTCTTCTGAGTGTGCATAACCATGTCACATAACTGGGCCCTCTGGTCAGGAGCCATTTAAACAACTGCAGGGCTCTATGTTTCAAACTGTTATGGTTCATTTAACCGTGCAAAGAAAAAGAAGAAATAAAGCGCCTGTTCCTTGTGTATTAACATTTCATATAGTTAATACAGTTATAGTTAATAGTCACAAGATTATACTCATATTACATGAATACAATGTGCATCTAAATCAATCTCCAATGATCAGGCTAAGTTAGTTCTTATACATCCATAACTAATGTGACAACAATGTACACAACCACACTGGCTCCCCAAACTGGATCCTCCAACTGCTGGGTGTGTACTGATGGCTACCCAGCAGCTGGAGGATACAACACTTCGAGTTGTATCTAGAGGATGGGACATAAGGGGAATCTATCGAATCCCAGAAGGATGGAGCTGTTAAAGCTGGAATGGGGAGGCAAATCCATATTAACGCCCATGGTTTTGGAATGTGATGTCCAATATGCTTTTGGCCACATACTATACTTTTGATAAACCTCTATGTGGCATCTGTGCCCCTCTTGGAAGTGATAAAGCATACCTCAAGTTCTGCCTCGCTCAGTGCTTAGACTTTTAGACTTGCCCCCCCTGATCTAAGCCCATGCCAGCCCAGTATAGACGCTCCAGGCTCAAGGCTGCCAGTCAACATGCCTCCATATCTGTCACTTGAGGTGGTCACCTCAATTGGTCTCATTAGTAGCACAGTCCGGCCTAAGCTCCACCCCATCATTCAACAATCTAGTGCCAAAGCGATCACAGAGGATTTGTTGCATAGTGGGGGTAGGTTTTCCAGACCCTCTGAGTAGCAGGAGGGCTCCTGGGCAATAGTACAAAGGGCAATTTTACTAACAATATAACGAAAAATCACCACTCTTATCACAAATTTTTGTCCTCTGAATTCTACTGGGAAATTAACATTTCTGATAGTAGCAATCTTCAGGGTGCCCAGCAGCTCTCACAGGGTCCTTCCTCTGAGTCACCACTCACTCCTGCATGGATGTGACATCAGGAGCCGGTGAGAGCTGTGTGGGACCTTGGAGATCAATGCTTCTGGAAGTGTCGGTTTCCTAATGGTTTTCGGTGGCCGAGAACTCGTTAATGGAGCAGTGTTTGGCTGTGCGTGGATTCGAAAAAGTTAAGTTTTCCACTTGGACCAGCTGGTCTTTCTTGCCCGGACCTGTTAGCCCTGGGCTCCTTCTTTCTAGAAGCTTGACCCCATTCCTTGTTGACCACATCAGGTTGTTGGGTTTTTTCTTCCCTAAATGGGAATTCATGGTTGCTCCACCTGTTTTGATGGGTTCTGGTTGATCAGCTTCTCTTTGTTCCAGGTTTCGTCTTCTATTGCGTGTGGAACAACTCCTGTTGTTCACTCCGCCTGTCACAGTAACTGGCGCTATAGAAGAATATCGCTATTGCGACTCTGCTCCCTCTGCCGCCGCAGCCTTGCTTTATACAGCGCCGGCTTCCTTTGCCACCAGGGACAGTGGTACCAGCGGTGCAGCAGTGGGGACATCAGACAGTGGACAGCGCGGTAAAGTACAGTACCATTTACCGGTACACATTACAGTACAGTACAGTTACATTAAGCAGTGCCTTCAGGGGGACAGCAGTTGGTGAAGTATGGTACTGTAGTGCTCCCTGTCACTGCGCCGTCGGGAGGGAGTCCCCTGTCATCCCCTTAATACAGTGTGTCCCTGCAGGCTGATACCATCTCTCCTGCAAGTTCCCCCTAACATGCTACCACCAAACTAGGTCTTATTTTCGAGGTAGGTCTTATATTACAGGAATCTTGAAAAATAGTGCTAGGTCTTACTTTCGGGGTAGGTCTTATTTTCGGGGAAACAGGGTACGTGTCAAGCAACCCTTCCTATTTTGGTCTTGAGCATCAGGTTGATTCTCTGTGTCCTCACTCAAGACCAGCACCGAAGGCCAGATTACCTCTTCGAGACCCAGTAGAGGGGAACAAGCAGCACTCCCCCTTGGAGACAGGACAGACAAAAATCCTTCTTCGTCAGCTCGATTTTCATCTTTGTTGAGCTTACCCTTTGAGTTATCTAATGCTTTGCAGTCAACAGACTCAACATACGAGACAGAGAAAAAGTTGGCATGAGTCGAGTGCCAATGGCTTAAAGGACTTCAGAGGAAGAAATGTATTTTCCTGCATGGACATAAGTCTGGTGTTTGACGATCTGTGCCCACAGCCCTGTGATTGTCTCAATTACAATTTTACCGAAATGCATATAAATTGTGAAATGTCAAGATACAGATTACAGCAAAGAGTACTAGTCATGTGCCTAGGGCCTGGAGAAGAGGGAAGGGGGGAGATCAGAGGGATGAGTGTCCCTTCTCAGCTAATAAAATTCTGTTTTTTGATGAGCGGTTTCCATGGCCCCTCGTTCTTTTTTTGTGTCACTTCATTCAACAGCACAGACATTATTAAATGCCAATATACAGTTGCCACCCGCCTAGGGCCAGAGAGGCTTCAAATGAATGACTAATCGCTTCGATTTTGGTGTTTGTCTCGCTGGTTTTTGCAGCCATAGATCTTATATTCCGTTGCCTTTTTTTTTGTATTGTCAAGATACAGATTGCAGCCATGAAGTCTAATCAGTTGCCTAGGGCCTGTTTAGAAGCCTGAGTGACTCTCCTCTGTTAATGAGTCAGTATTTATTTTCATCTGTCCAAAAGTTGCTTCCCAAGCCAATGAATTTAATCTCGGGTGCACTTATTAATATGATTGAACGTCGGGCTGTCAGCTTTTCAAAGGCTTACTATGACAGAAGATCTTGTATTCTGGTAAGTGTATGGGGTTGATACATGTATTGATAATTAGGGTTGCACAGATACCAAGTACAGTACTCGGTACAAGTACGAGTACATGTACCGATACTTTTGAGCTCCAAGACTACACTAGAGAAAAATTCAAAAATTAGGAGGCAGCTGTCATTTGTAAGGAGCACACGGAGCTCCTGGGATTTGTTCATCTCTGTTTTAATGTACGATTTTGTTTTTATAAAGATAAATAAAGGGATGCAGCGATACCAGTTTTGCGAGTACGAGTACTGGTACTTGCCGAGTACTTACAAGTACGAGTACTGATACATTCTTGTTTATTGTCATGTGACAGTTTTTCTAAAATAATACAGACTAATGATTTTAGGACAGTGGTGGAGTGACAGAGCCAGGTCCCAGCTGCAACCGCTGCAACCCTGGTAGTTCTCATGAAAATGCCAAGTATCTGCACTGGTACTCGAAAAGTATCTGTGCATCCCTATTGATAATATTCAATATATGAATTCCTTTATTTTGTAGTCCTTTATGTACAGTAAAGTATCACCCTAACTGCCCTCTCCGCTCCTCCCAAGAACTTCTGCTTGGTAGCTCCCTCGTCAACTCCTCGCATGTTCACCTCCAGGACTTTTCTAGAGTCTCTCCAATTGTTTACAACTCCCTAGCCCAACCTGTCCAGCTATCCCCAACTCTGTCTGTCTTTAGGCGATCCCTAAAGACTCATCACTTCAGGGAAGCCTATCCCACCTCAACCTAACCACTAAACCAACACTTTCTCAAACAATTCATCCCCACACAGCTATCACCTCTTGTCTCCCTTGCCCCTCCCTTTTAGATTGTAAGCTCCTACAGGCCGGGCCCTCCTTACCTTCTTGTCTTGAATTGTATTGTGATTGTAATGTCTTCCTTATATTGTAAAGCGCTGCGCAAACTGTTGACGCTATATAAATCCTGTATAGTAATAATAACAATAATATTTTTTCAGCAAAAGTGACCACTACAAGGGTTGGGACATACCATATAAAGATGCTGGGGGGTACATACATCCCTCAGCTTTTATTTCCATTGCTTAAAGCTTTTTCCGAAAGAAAAAAACCCATTTACACTACGGGTCTATTCATTTGTAAATCTGGGCTGACAGTGTACCTTCACGTGTGAAAAGACCGACATGTCCCTTGTTTTTCAGTGCAGCATGGGTGCATGGCCCGTTACTGTAGTTATACTTTGGGGTGGCATTTTAAATGAATGTAATTGTACTAAAATCACTGCAGAGTTGTCACCCTAGAATTTGGAATGGCATCCTGGAAATTGAGTAAATGGCAAGAAATTGAAGCCCAACTCCACCTTACACTTTTAAGCAGTTACAGCATTTTTTTATTTTTAGAATAGAAGCTGAGCATTGTAAACACCCTCACCCCCAACCCCTGTAATTACTGGACAGCTCGGCCCGCATGTAGATGTGGAGGAAAATATTAAGAAAGGCTTGTTCAATAAAAAGAACTTCATATACCAAATACTACTATTACAAGTATGGATGCTCCGATACCGGTATTTCATTATCGAGTACCGATATTATTTTTTCGGTACTCGCCGATACCGAAAACCGAGTACCGGAAGTCCCATTCAGGAAGCCAAGCAGCGTGTAATGGCTAGCCACCTGGTTTCCTGATTAGCTGGGAAGCCGGGCGGCGTGTAAAGACTCAAGTGACGAGGGAGACTCAAGTGACGAGGGAGCATGGAACCGGCTTCCTGGCCAATCAGGAAGCCGGGCAGCGTGTAATGACAACAATCTCTGCCCGGCTTCCTGGCACAGGAAGTATTGGGCTAGGCATTGGAGCATTTGGGCGAGCACGAGTACTTGCCCAAATACTCGGCGTTGGCACCAATACCGATACTAGTATTAACCCCACATGGCTTGCAGAACACACATTTT